ATACTGCGGGGTTAATGGGGTCTCAGGTAACTCACCTGTACTGAGGGGTTAATGGGGTCTGCAGGTAACTCACCTGTACTGAGGGGTTAATGGGGTCTGCAGGTAACTCACCTGTACTGAGGGGTTAATGGGGTCTGCAAGTAACTCACCTGTACTGAGGGGTTAATGGGGTCTGCAGGTAACTCACCTGTACTGAGGGGTTAATGGGGTCTGCAGGTAACTCACCTGTACTGAGGGGTTAATGGGGTCTCAGGTAACTCACCTGTACTGAGGGGTTAATGGGGTCTGCAGGTAACTCACCTGTACTGAGGGGTTAATGGGGTCTGCAGGTAACTCACCTGTCCTGCATTAGGGAACATATACCTGAGACCAACAGCAGCTCTACAGGTGAGGAGAGGCTGTCACTCATCACCTGTAGAGCTCTGCCACCAAACTTTCTTCAGACCTCTGGACGTAAAGTGTTCTAAGGTCCATCTTCTTCTTCTTCTTGTTCTGTACTCGGTGTTTAAACCTGAGGCCTCCACGTGTGTTTACCTGCTCTGACATCACTTCCTGTCCGCAGGTGGACAAAAAGCAGACGAGCGTCTCATTGGACGACGGAGACGATGAGTCCGGAGACTCGGAGGAGGAAGGGCGAGCGAAGCCGGCGAAGAAGAGAGAGGCGGTTTGGATCGATGAAGACGATGAGAGGGAGGAGCAGTGAGTCTTCTTCTGTGGTGTCTGAAAGACTCTTCTTCTGTGGTGTCTGAAAGACTCTTCTTCTGTGGTGTTTGAAAGACACTTCCTCTGTGGTGTTTGAAAGACACTTCCTCTGTGGTGTCTGAAAGACTCTTCTTCTGTGGTGTCTGAAAGACTCTTCTTCTGTGGTGTTTGAAAGACTCTTCTTCTGTGGTGTCTGTATAAATATAACCAGTTCTAATGGAGGCTCTTCTTCAGGGTGGACATGAAGCATCGATTCCGCAGAGATCTGATCAGAGGAGAAGCTGAGGAGACGCTGAGCAGCAGGAAGCTACAACAGAGGATGAGAGAACAGTGAGACACACACACACACACACACACACACACAGACACAGAGACAATCACACAGACACTCACTCACTCACTCACATTGAACTGTGTGTGCTTCAGGTTCCAGAAGTCGATGGGAGGAGCTCCTTCGTGGGCGGAAAACTCTGTGAAGAAGAAGAAGAAGAAGAACGGTGAGTCTCGTTCACACAGCCTTGATTAGTCTGTTTGAATCTAGCTCTGGAGCTGCCGCTGAACTCTGGAGCTGCCCGTGAGCTATGGAGCTGCCCGTGTGCTCTGGAGCTGCCCGTGTGCTCTGGAGCTGCCTGTGAGCTATGGAGCTGCCCGTGTGCTCTGG